TGACCTTTGCGCAGCCCGAGTCTCGTCAACGTGACATCCGCTCCTGCACGTGTCCATCAGGTGGACTTCGAGAATGAACTTAAACATATCAAATTCACACTCTGAAATATTGACAAACTATGCATTCAATTGTGAAAATAACGAAAGCATAAACTATCCCAAGGATGAGAGCTGCTATCCCCCAACAGCAATATCACACACTTCTAAAAATAAAAACACGGTTGTCCATTTTCTATCATGAAGCACAGCTGTGGCGGCGAGTCATGGGCCCTTCCCGCGAACAGCGCTGCATAAGCGGTGTCGAGGCTCAATCGCTCTCATTTTTCAAAAAGATTAGATTAGCTTTTAATAACAATCTGATTCCTCTTTATGCGTATCTGTTAGATTCATGTCTTCATTTTCTTTAAGATTAAATTATTTAAGCTAGATAATGATAGTTATTAAACCAAACAAACATGAAATCCGAGATGGCTAATATAGTCCATTTCAAACATCTGGATACAAATAGTGACGATAGACAACGAAGAGACAAAGAGTTAAGAGAAACTCCCCATATCCATACGTAACTGCAGACGCATAATGATGATGTCTAAAATACGACAGAAAACTTCTTAATGCGTTCACAGAAAATGAGAATCTTATGGATGACTAATCAAATAAATATGAGGGCAATTTATCATACAAACATAGAAGAAATACTTGATAATAGGTTATTTTGGTGCTGTAAATACAATTAATAGTTGGCTATCAATGTTACTCATTCTCAAAAGTGAAATAATGATAATGATAATGATAAAACATACGCAGACCAGATGTCCTGTAATGTCTTTTTTAAGAACTACTACCATTTAAACGGTTGCCATAGCATTCCGAAAGATACCGGGAATTCGCTCTTATCTCGCCTTAAGCCATAGTAGTTATAAGCTTATAATCACCTGTTGTGTCATTTTCTTTCGGCCGCAGCACAATCAACATGTCAAATACATCAGGCTTCGCGACAGCTTCACCTATATAGCGGGTAAACTTTCTCACCAAGAAAGAGAAGAAGAAGAAGAAGAAGAAAGTATCTTATACACGACAACGTGTTTTTAATTGTTGATATATATATATATATAATATATATATATATATATATATATATATATATATATATATATTATATATATATATATATATATATATATATATATATATACACATATCGATGAATGTACATAAGCAGGTGAATATGTCAATAACTCTGAATGAATGAGTAAACGAATGGAAAAATTCAAAAATCACACACACGCACACATCTATCTATCTATCTATCTATCTATATGTAGTAATAAACGTACATTCTCCCTTTCTTTCTCTACTTTTTTCTCTCTCTCTCTCTCTCTGTATATTATGTTATTCATGTATAATACCCCCCCCCTCTCACTAAATTATGTCTACCTATATATTTCTTGCTTTATCATACAGTCATGAATGTTTTGTACCTGAACTGCCAACCTCTCTCATAAATTTCGTCTTTCAGATCGCACCTCACACTCACTCAAGCCTTTCGTCTCTAATCTTCTTATCTCATTCCCTCTCTTGAGACGGACACTTCTAATCCCTCCATCTTTTCATGCTTAAGAAAGTCACTCTTCTTCAACGCGAGAGATCATAACAAATACCTATTTTTTTCCCCTCAAAGAAAAGGGAAAGAGGCTTGACATGACATTCCGGATTCTATTGTGACGTGTGTCTTGACGTGAAGGTGGACGTGAATGCATTTGTCAGCGGGATTGGCGTTGGGTTTTCTTCGTCATGTTTCCTTCGTATGAGACAACCGCCTTCGTGTCTCCTATTCATTAATTCATTGTCCGATTTGTTTAATCATTTATTTATTAATTCATACATGTATTGATTTATTTTCTTCGTTTAGTCTCCTATTTATTCATTCATTGTCCAATGTGTCTATTTCTTTACTTAATTAATTCGTACATATATTGATTTATCTTATTCGTTTTTCTAGTTTCCAGAGGAATGGCGTGTTCTCTCTGGGATTTCATATTTTCTTTTAATTATAAAGACTTTGGCGCGCTGAATGTCACATAGAACTGCAACATATGGTGGATCTGGTCGCATTCGAGGCCATTTCTTCGCAGCATAAAACAAAACAATAACAGACGAGAGAAAATTACACATTCAGAACATCTTCCCATAAAGAAATTCGCAGATCTAAGCGTGCAAGCCAGTTCTCTGAAAGTTATTAATCAAATTATTAGAAAAAGGAAAAAGAAATGTGAAAAAAAGAAACGTCAAGTCATCTAACAACGGATAATCAGCAAGGTCTTGGCGTTCGCAATGGACAAGAAACAAGAAACTTCCGAAACGTGTTCATATGGATAATGACGTGAAACTGAAGTGGGCGTGAGTACGATAGCTGGACACCACGCCCACGAATTCTCCAATCACACGCGGGCGAAAGAAATACAAAAGTCAGTAATCACAACTTTAATTCAACATCATT